TTGTATGGTTGGCAACTGCAACCCCCCCCCAACCCCCCACCCCACCCCCCACCCCCCACCCCAACCCATTCACTAGTTGCATGTGGAGTAGGCACCACCCGTTGCTAGGAAGCAGGTAAGTGCGCAAGTGACCTAAATTTTTGATGCCAAGTGCGCAAGTGACCCAAAGTGCGCAAGTGACCGAAATTCCCAGTGCGCAAGTGACTGCCCGGCCTGTTCAAGCCAGGCCCCAAACATGTTCCAGGTTTTGGACACTGTTTCTGAAGATGCGCCAGTGGCGACCCTCGTTGAACGGCCTTTCGCCCAGGCACCCTGAAGTCCTTGTTTTGGTCCTTCCTTCTCTTGGGCTTGGTGGTCTACATATTTGGGACTTTGTTCCTCGATGTCAGTCTGGATTTCAAAGAAGGAAAGGAGCCTGAAAACGTGGAAATGCTTGCTCTGAACGAGCATTTTGGCGACCTCAGCATTGCTTGTGGAACGCTCTTTCGATCCATTTCCAATGGCTTCTCTTGGAAAATTGCAGCAGACGCCTTGAGACCTGCTGGGGAGTTTTGGTACTGGCTCTTTCATTTTTATGTGGCGTTTTGCAGCTTTGCTTTGCTCAATGTCATGACAGGACCGGCCTTGTTGCTTGCACATGTTCGCAAGTGGATAGGTATGAGCGGTGCAACGTATGGTATCAGCGGCGGTAGGGGAATGAGCACTTCTTCTTCTTTTTGCTGTTCAGGGGAATGTCCTTCTCTCCCTCTCAGTGCTTCGCCTTTCGGCTTCGCCCAGCCTTGCCAAGTCCAAGCTGTTTCCCGCTTTGGAGGAGTCTTCTGCAATTCTGCGATCAAAGCAGCCGAAAATGACACAGAGCTGTTGGTCCAGTCCCTGGTCCAAATGCGGAAGGAGCGGGCTGCGTGGGCCACTTTTTGTGACATCTACAGCTTGTCCACTCAGAGTGTCGGTCTCGAATTGAAGGTGCAGTTGGGTAACGCCCCTGCAGGAGTTGCGCGAGCATGTGCTGAACCTCTTTCACAGTATCGACGAGCGCGGGCTTGGCCGAGTGACGATCAGCGATTTCGAGAAAGCCTTCGACACCGAGGCGATGCAGGTGCGGCGGCGTTTGATTCACCGTTTACACGCACTTCATTACAGATGGTGCGGCCTAAACATCCCGAAAAACTGCAGCAGTGGTAGGACTCAAAGACGGGGAGTCTGGAGTACTGTCGGATGACGCTGTTGTGTTCCAAGCGATGCTGTTGCTTTTTGACTGATCTTGGCTTCCAAGTGTAAGCTTTAGGCCTTCTTGCAAGCTTTGCAGTTGGGCGCTGTGGATGCTTGGACACTCTTCACCAGTCTCGACAAGGATGGGGACTTTGAGGTGTCGGTGGATGAGTTTACAGAGCGCTGTTTGCAGCTGCATGGCCCAGCCAAGTCCGTGGATCTTTTCGCAGTTCGAATGCAAAATGACGCTTGGCCGAAACATAGCTGAGGGACATGCAAAGAAGGGTGGATGATATGCTGTTGAATGCCCAATTGGCACTGGAATGAATCCTTTGGTGGAAGTCAACAAATCATAAAAAATCAATGTATGCCCATTTGGGCACTCATGATCTTCTTATTTCCCCAAGTGTCTATACATAGATTGAACCGTGCAAATCGATCGAATGACACCTTTGGAGGGATTGAGTAGAAACAGAAGGATATGGCCAATGGCCCACTGTATATCTTTCTTTCTCTCCTACCATTTTGTGTGAGGACGTATCTAATATTCCTTATTAGTTACAGCATCTCCTTTCTTTTTTTTTCTGTTGTTTGCATTTGATAGTTTAACGTCCTTGACTCAGACTTGTTTTTCTTCTGTTATATTTTCTATTTGCGAGGCCAAGATGGACAAGCAGCTTCGCAAGATTGCGGATGCACATGCCCGCTTGGAATTGCAACTGATGCAAGTATCCGGTGCCGCCCTTCGCGGCCATGGTTTCACAGTGTAGAGTGTAGTTGCTAGCGACGAAGAGAGGTGAATCTGCAAAATGCAAATTCACCATTTTTTTTTTTGAGATTTCACACTCTCAGATTCTCAGATCTCTCAGATCGTGAGCTCGGGCAAAAATTCGGCCCGCTTAGCAGAAGCATGCAAAGGCACACGTGTATTATGTATGTATACACACACACATATATATATATAGACGAGTAGGGAATGACATGGCGATACGGCCACTGTGAAGTGCTGAAAGCAGCCGCAACAATTCAGCAACGTGACGACGGGTGTTGCAGGCACATTTGGTTGCTACATGCCAGAGTATTGAGTGTACTACAGTGTGCTGTGTGGAGGGCTTCGCTGGTGTGTTGCTCTTTGGTCTCCGGTGAATGCTTGTATGCCTGGTTCTTTGGATCAAGCAGTGCCCAGATTTCAACCGTAGTCAGGAAGGCCTCCATTCAGAACAGATAGGCATGGAGGAAAATACGACGAGGAAGCTACTACAGAGCCACCGTGTGGAGATGATGGCCTATTTGGAGGAGCGAATGGCTTGAATTGACTTCGCCAATCATGCTATACAGCATTTATTTAAACCATTTGTTTCTGAATTGTGACATTGGTCACATTGGACTCCGTGCTAGTACAATTCACCACATTAGAAACCGATGAACGTAATGACGGTGACGGTGAGCCACTTCCCTGACCAATCATAATCAGACCGTGACCTGTTTGTTTCGATGGAGTCTCCTTTGATTCCAAGTCCCCACATCACATCTCCTTCTGGCCAGGATTGGCTTTGGCGCCTGGAAGAGTCCCTCCAGCTTCCCCAGAGTCCGAAACTTCGGCAGGCCAGCAAGCCCCACTCGCACCACGAGTGCGGTTTCGAGGCCGAAGAGCCTCGGGTGGAGGATGCGCCGCTCTTCTCGCACGATTCCGAGGCCGCTCCCGTCCGGGCAAGGTCCAACCGAGAGCTGGATCACTTCGACAGGATGGACAGCTATCAACTCGCAACACTGGCTGATCGACACGTCTCTGAAGCGTTTGATCGAGTCATTGCCCATTCTTTGAGAGGAAGTGCCGCCCTGAAGGGACGCTCCATGTGCCAGAAATTCCAGCAGAAGGTATCAGCTTGCATCAACTCTCCTGCATCCAACAGTATATGGACATTTTTTATCCTCACCAACTCTATCTATTTGGGGGTGCATTTGGAGATCACCGCGTTGGACTATGATGTGGCACAAAAGCCAGTCTTCTTTCACATCCACTTGGTCTATGCAATCTTGTTCACCCTCGAGGCATTGTGCATTGTGACCTGAACTCATTTTTAGATCTCAGCCTTTGAATTTGGAGTTGGATTTCCCTCTCCGCAACTGCTCCTGCTTGCACAGGTCATCCTGCGGTTAATTGGTGCCGGCAATTTTTTCCGGTACATTTGGGGGCCTAACTGGCACTGGAATATCTTGGACATGTTTGTGGTGATCTCCTCCTGGGTGGAGATGGCCGTGGATTTTGCAAGTGGAGAGGCTAGAGCAGCCAACACAAACCTTCGCATCCTGAGGGTGTTGCGCACCTGGGAATTCTGCTTAGCAGGAGGAAAAACGAGGAAAAACCCTTGGTGACTTATTGTTGCTTCTTTTTTGTAGACCTTGGATGTTCCTTTTCTTCTTTGCAAGCTGGCATGCTCCCAAACTGTCAGATCAATGCCACAGGAACTCTGCCCTTAGATTAAGCCACTTCCCTGAGTGGCTAAACATAAGAAAGGTTCCGGTGAGTAGCAGATTTCAGATTGCATCCATGCTGCCAGCTGCAGTCCACGGGATGGGTTCCACGAAAGTCGCGATCACACGCGGGCAGACTGGGGACAGCACCGTCAAGAAAACAGGCAGAACACCTTTTGTTGCATTTCTCTTCCCGAAAGATCTAGGAACCAAATCCTTAGCGTGAGCTATCCTGCGTCCAGTTACTAATTTCTTCTCCCTTTCTTAATTAAGTAGGCGCCTACTTAACTAAGGAGGCACGGCCACGGGCAATGAAACAAAGAACAACCCAAAACCGTGTGCATAAACAGCTTTGCTCAATTGAGTGCGCAGTGGAATCCAGGGAGCCATTTTTGTGACCTCACGAGGACCGCGTGGCACTGAGGCATTGGCCGTATAGCTCGCGTCTTGCGCATCGTCCGGGTGGTACGTCTCTTCCGGGCTTTGAGGACCTTGGTGGCATCTCTCATGGGCACCTGGGCGCCAGCTTTGAACCTTTCTAACTGAGCTTGGTTTCAGTTTGAGGTGTTCCATGTTCTCTGGCTGTTTTCTTTTGTACTGACCTCCAAGTCAGTGTAAGCTCGAGCTTTCTCAGAAGAGGCCTGCCACTGGAGAGATTTACCCGCGCTCATGCCGCACATGGGGTCGAATCAAACAAGGAAAGAGCAGGGCATATCAAGCAAGGAGCAAGAGCGAAAGAGCAGATGTGGAGCATAGAGGCAAAAAATCACATGAGGAGCAACCCGCTTAGACATGTCAGGAGCACACGTCTGAAGAGTGCACGGCTGGAGAGTACAGCTGAAGCAGCACTTTTGGATACCCTGTGGCACCTGACTCTGGACCCTCGAGACTTCAAGCCTTGGGTGCCAGGGAGTTGAGGAGAGTTTGAGCCCAATTCGGCCAGCTTTGACCACAGTTCGGCGGTGAACAGTCACAATTTTCATGACCATGTTTTTCATTGCAAGGTTTCTCATGGGCACTGTTAGTTTTTTCGTGTGCCACGGGTAGGGCCGGGTAGGGAATGATGCTTGCCTCAAATAGGGCAGCAAGTCGCAAGAGTTTCAATGGCCGTCATTTACACCCAACACATCGCAAAGTAGATTCTTGTGCCCAGGCACCCTGAAGTCATTGTTTTGGTCTTTCCTTCTTTTGGGCCTGGTGGTCTACATCTTTGGCATTTTGTTCCTTGACGTGGTGTTGGACTACAAAGAGTCGGCAGGGCCTGACAGCATCGAGTTTCAGCATTTCATCGAAATGTCCAAGCACTTTGGCGACCTCGGACTTGCGACAGGAACACTCTTTCGGTCAATTTCCAACGGCATCTCCTGGAAAGTGGCAGCAGACTCCTTACAACCTGCTGGTGATTTTTGGTTCATGTTGTTCCACTTCTATGTGGCTTTCTGCAGCTTCGCTTTGCTCAATGTCATGACAGGACCGGCTAGCTAGGCAACGCAAAACGTTTTGTTTTTGAGTACGCGTGGTGACGCTGAGAGGTTGCTCCACATGCGGTCGGAGTGGTGAAGCCGTGCCGCGACAAACGCGGCGACTCCTTCCGATCGCGTTCGTTAAACGTGCCGACCGCCGCCCTTTGCCGTGCAGGAGTCTTCTGCAATTCTGCGATTAAGGCAGCAGAAAATGACACCGAGCTTATGCTCCACTCGATTGTACAAATGCGGAAGGAGTGGGGCATTTGTTGAGCAATCGGGCAGTGGATTTATAACATCACGAAGGAATACCCCCGGCTGTCCCACTTCTGCACATGTCCAGATTTCCTTGAAGGTCGTGTTTCTGGTTTTGCCTTGTTTACCTCTCCTGGGTTTTTAGCCGTGAAGAGGAGTTGCGCGAGCATGTGGTGAAGCTCTTTCACAGTATCGATGAGCGCGGACTTGGCCGAGTGACGATCAGCGATTTCGAAAAAGCCTACAACACTGAGGCGATGCAGGTGCGGCGGCGTTAGATTCACCGTTTACACGCATTATATAGATGGTGCGCCTTAAACATCCTGAAAAACTACGACTCAAAGACGGGGAGTCTGGAGTACTGTCGGATGACGCTGTTGTGTTCCAAGCGTTTAGACTGTGCTTTTTGACTGGTCTTGGCTTCCAAGTGTAAGCTTCAGGCCTTCTTGCACGCTTTGCAGCTGGGCGCTGTGGATGCTTGGACGCTCTTCACCAGTCTCGACAAGGATGGGGACTTTGAGGTGTCGGTGGATGAGTTTACAGAGCGCTGTTTGCAGCTGCATGGCCCAGCCAAGTCCGTGGATCTTTTCGCAGTTCGAATGCAAAATGACGCTTGGTCGAAACATAGAGGAGGTTTAAGAACAGAAGTTTGAAGACGCATGACCCCGAGAGGTACGAGAAACTTGCAAACCCGACCCCGAGAACCTCCCACTCGGAGAGTCGAACAACTCTGGATCGGAGCTTCACCCCAAGTCTCGGATGATCGAGGAGCATTTGCCCTAGGAAGCTAAAATAGCAAGACGTGAGCATGAGGTTTAGCACGTTGGACCTCAGGTGAAGCTTCAAAAGCAGCTGAGCTTCATTACGGAGCAGCTCGGGGCTCGAAGGCAAGCGGCTATAAGCAAAGTAGCTCCTCAGCTCGGAGAGCATTCTTTGCATCCTGAGGAGCTTTCTGGGGGCGGGGATTCGCTTGTGAGGTGCGATTTGGATCGCTTGTGAAGCGCCGATGCGCTTGTGGCGGAGGGTTGGAGGTGATTACTTGCTGTCAGTTGAAGTGACTGTCCCTAACCCCCCACCTGACCCCACATCCCCTCGCCCTCACCTCCCTTGCGCAAGTGATCCATGCGCGTCCATCTTCCGCCGTTTTGAGGCGGGCCAGGACTCTCGTTTCAAACGTTGAACCCCCCGTTGAACGACTCACGTTTCCAGGCGTCGTCATTTTGGGTTGTGGACTTTGGGTGAGGTGTTGGCACTGCGTGAAGCACGGCACGCAATCGAAGGAATGCTATTTGCACACTGACAACCATCCATCGTCCAAAACCTGTTCGCAGCGTCCAAAGTTGTCCATCCCCTGGCATGCCAAGCATGACCTGAGATCGATGGCGGACGCAGCAAAAAGCTTTTGCCGCTCTGCGCCTTGCAACATGTAGGGGTTCTGGGTAATGCAAATCTTGGCCAGGCTCGGCTTTATCTCCTCGCAGGAAATTTGCTCAAGGTAGTGTGTACCGTCGATCCTTCACTACAATGGAGGAACATGAAATGAAGGCTGAGCTGCCAAGTATGTTGGATGAAGTCTTTAAGAAGCACAACAGTCAGGCCGGGGGAGTCGAGTTTTTCGCTCGAGCGAGTCTTTCCAACATGTCAATTGGCGTATAGGAAGCATTTCAAATTTGCGTATAGGCACGAATTTCGCACTCGTGTTTTGCCCTGGAAAACGGGTGTTTTTGCCCACGCCACTTTGACAGGTGCTTTCACGGCTGGACACTTGGCTCGAACACTTGGACGCCAAGCTGGACATTTGGCGAATGCAGATTGGCACCCCACACGTGAGGACAGGCAATGCATCAGAGTCGGCAAGACATTGATGTTCTTTTCTCGTCAACTCAGTACAGACGTGTACTGTGCCAGTTTTTTTTCTTTTGGTTGCTTGGTTTGCGGTCTTGAATTCAATCGCGTTTCGTGGAACAGGCATGGCATGACAACAGGCGGAGCACTTAAATATAGCAATAATAGCAACCAAGACTTTCGTAAGAAGAGTTGTGAGGACCCCAATGACCCCGAGGACGCCAAGGTCTGCCAGGGAAGATGTTGAGGCCTCTGCAGCTCTGTCAGATAGGGTTTGTAGGAGGAACCCGTATCCGCCAGACTTCATTTGATGGGTTGTTTTTCCAAGCCCTGTCGGAGAGGCTTCTGACTCCGAATGCAGAGGCAATTGTCAAACTTGGCAAACTCGCTTGAAACAAGTCTGATTTCTGTAAGCTGGATTTCGTCCTCAAACGACTGCTAGAAAGAAACCCATCGAATACATCATAATACATCCACAGTGTCAGTGTGTGTGTGTGTGCTGACCTGCCGCCTGAAGCCCTTGAGACTTTGCCGTCTGAACTTTCAGACGGCACGAGCTAGCATACCAATTGGTAGTTGCTGGTATGCTCACAACGACCATCGTCGCGTCACTTTTCCCCCGAGGATCTCTCGAGCTCGACGTCTGCGGAGGTCCACGTTCGCTTTGGGGATACGGTCGCCGAACCGGAGCAGCACCATCTTTCGCTGACTCATCGGTCCCCTACACCAGATAGCTATGACCTGGCAAAGCAGGTTGGCCAGAGCATACACGAATCTCGGACCGCAATTTATTGTACGTCGCTGGCCAAACCTACATCAGGGAACTTATTTTTTCCTACTTCCTGTTCTTGGGAGTAGCGGCTCCTTTGAACGTAGAAGCCAAGGACTGAGGGGTACAAAAAAAGATCGGATACAGAGATTGCAGAGCTGTAAAGAGGCTTCCTTGAGAAGATAAGAGGGGATTGATATGCCTCGTAAACGTGAGTGCGAGGTGCAGTAAATATGCTATAAAATTACGATATATTTCTGTATATTATATATTATATAAGAATATATATATAGATATATATATATCTATAAATATATATGAAAGTATGTGTGTTATGGGTGTTATACATACATATACTAACTACACACACACACACACACGCATATATATATATATGGGCGCGCGTGCTTTTCGGGGCCCCCTGAGAAGTAATGGATAAGATATAATACCATGAAACGCGCCCATATATATATATATATATATGCATATACTTCCACAAAAACATTGCACATAGACTGCATGAAATCTTTCATACGCCATACGCCCAGGTTCATGCCAGAGGAGGTTCATGCTATCTACAAGCGCAAAGCTGCATTGACATTCTGCATGGCGGATTTAATCATTTGCAGACAACCGCCCATGTCTTCAAGGTGGTGCACTTCTTGTAAGTCCTTCAGATGTGTCAATGCAGCCTGCAGTTCTACCTTGCGGCGCTTAGTACGGTCAGAGGACGAGGAAGAGGAGGTAGAAGACGAAGAAGATGAAGATGAGACCTTGGCCTTGCCATCCTTGGGGGTTGTCTCCTTGACGCAATCCTCGTCCATTATATTGTCATCATTTGGCTGTGAGTCCAGGGCTTCTGAGTGATGGTCCTCAAAGATGTTGGCATCCTCATCCTTTGGCTGTGAGTCCAGGGCTTCTGAGCTCTCAACGATGTTGCCAACGGCTTTTGAGCAGGAACTTTCAGCAGGTGGTTTGTCCTCCAATGCCAACATATTCCTTTTCTGCACGCCCTTCAAATCTTTCAAGAGCCACGTGTCGAGAACATCTTGCGCTTGACGAGACCACTGGCCAGAAATGCCAGGAGCTAAATTCAAGCTTCTTTGGACATAGTGAATATGCGCTTGAATCTGTCTCGGTGTTCGTTGTTGTTTTGACTCACACGCTGCTTTGCGGCCACTGACGATGTCCTGGTGGAGTTCATGTGCGTTGGGCACAGGCACTGACGGCTCAGCATCAGTAGTTGGGTCTGGGCGGTAGATGACAGGGTCCACCGTCTGCAGATCCAACGAAAACCGCCCAGGTTCTACTTCAGAACCCATAGCCACAAACATCACCTTCTTGGGCGCCATGATGACACTGATACAGACTTGAGCTGGAGCCAGTCACTATCAAGATAACTTCATCGATGAAGAAGTGGTGTGTTTATAAACAGTAGTCAGTGTTTATAAACATGCAAACTGCCAAAGTAAACAAGAGTAATCAAATACAGATACCACCTGCAAAAAGCTATATGCTTGTTGTCAAATGACATTGAAGTAATCATGCAAGCAAACACATACAGAAACCACTACAAGAACATACCTTGCAGATGCAGACGCTAAAGACATGACATTTTTTGCGTAAAGCTACTGCAGCAGATTGCATTGCAATCTATACCCATACCGTTGGTCAGACAGAGTACACAGATGAACGCTAAGGTGATGACAAAACAAATGCATTCAGCATTGATTGAAATGAGTTGCCAATGTTGACTCTGAACGTGTACTCGTACAGATCCCCTACATCTACTTCGTCTTCTGCTTCATTTGAAGCTGTGGACTGGAAGCATAACCTACCATAGCGCTCTCTCACCATGGTCTTGAGACGGGAAAACTCGGACTCAATATCGTTCGAATGGAATCCAGTATTGGCATCTCTCCAACCAGTCGAGTGGTTGATGGACGGGTCTTGTTGTCTCCATCCTTGGAAGTATGCCGTTGAATCTGTGGCTTGTCCACTACTTCTTGTGTTAGCCACTGGTCTCCTGGAATCTTGCTCAACATCTTCATGAAGCCCTTCTTGACGACATCAGAATTAGAGCAAATCTTGTAGTCGATGGTGAGGACGTTATTGTTGCAAAGAGTTTTGGCCAAGCCCATTGGAATTGACACCGTAGAGTGGTAGAACTTGAGGACTGTCCAGGAAGCATGAGCAGATTTTTCCAAAACTAATTGAAGTACACAAGAGTCACCAAGAGCATCACGTGGACGGACAGATGCAGGTAGATGAGCATATTTTGGTGATGCCTCACTCATCACTGAACGAATAGCAGCCACATCCACATCAGACACATTGCGGATGACCTGAAAGAACTCCTTGAAGGACTTTTTGGATTTGGGCTCCACTTTGATCAGAGGTAGTTGATCAATGGACACTGTGCCATCCGAAACTTTTGTGTGCTTGTGTGTTTGCATGTACTTCATATATGCGTTGTTACCTTCCATCATGGCAGCTTCCATGGCACAAGATTGGAGGTAAGAAGCAGTTGCTGACAAACTAGTTCGAGCAAATATACTGAAGAAACCAATGTTTATAAACAACCATTTTGTTTATAAACAACTCCTTTCTTCAGCTGGGGGAGGGGGGGGG